GTCACATGAATTTTTTTTTACTTTCCAGCATATATAAAACTTATGTTTACACTATACTGTATTAGGTATACAATATCATATGACAAAGAATGTACAAACAATAATTAAAAAAATATTTTATTGGCCGAAAATGCTAACAGTTATCTGAGCCTTTTTAATGAACTGTAATCTTTTGGTGGCAGAAGGTCTTGCCTTGATGTGGACGGCTGTGGACTGGTTAGGGTGGTGGTTGTGGAAAAGTGGAGTAGCTGTGACAGTTTCTTAAAATAAGATAATAATGAAGTTTGCTACATCAATGGGCTTTTCCTTTCACAAAAGAACTCTCTGTAGCATGTAATGTTGTTTGATAGCCTTTTTACCTACAGTGGAACCTCTTTCAAAGTGAAGTCAATCCTTTCAAACCCTATTGCCTGATGCTTTATGTACTAAATTATGTAATATCCTAAATTCTTTGTTATCACTTCAACAGTGTCCACATCATATTTACCAGGAATGGATTCCATCTGAAGCAACTACTTTCTTTGCTCATTCATGAGAAGGAATTTCTCATCCATTAGAGTTTTATTATGAAATTGTAGCAATTCAGTCATATCTTCAGGCTCCAATTTTAATTCTAGTTTTCTTGCTATTTCCACCACATATGCAGTGACTTCTTCCACAGAATTCTTGAACTCTTCACAGTCATCCATAAGGGTTGCAATCAATTTATTTCAAACTACCTTTAATATTATTATTTGACTTGCTCCCATAAATCACAAATGTTCTTTTTTTTTTTTGCATCATTTCTTTAAACACTTTATTTATATTACTTGCCCATATCACAAATGTCTATGAACATCTGGATATAGTGATTCTCCCCTTCAGGAGTAGTCTGAACAGGGGTTTAAAATATTCAGTAAATCATGCTGTAACAGAATCCGTTATCTGGCTTTTAAGACCAAGCAAGGTGTTTAGCATATTCATAAAGTGAGGACTTTCAGCAATGGTAAGGGGAATTGCTTCACCTTAAAGATAACCAGCTATGTAGACTTACACAGAGTGTCAGCCTTCCTTTGAAGATTTTGAATCACCATCTGACTTCTCCTCTTAGCTTGAAATCCTACATGACATCACTTCAGTAAGCGTATTGCTTACATTAATCATCGTTGTTTAGTGGTAGCCTACCTTTATCTATTATCCTTAGCTGAATCTCTGAATAACTTTCATCTCTCTAATCAGTATTACTTGCTCACGCACACTGTTATGGGTGGAGATGGTTCTTTCCTTAAATCTCATGAATCAACTCTCCTAGCTTCCAAATTTTTCTGCAAGCTTCTTCACTGTTCCCTACGAATTCAGAGTAGAACCTTTTCTGCATACCCTTTGGGTTATTTGATTTGGTCTTCAGACCTATTAAAAACTTTATATCATAATAATATATTCACTTCTTTATTTTTTCACTGAGTGCTGTTATTTTAGGTCTCATTTATTGACTGAGCAGGTTTCATCCTATCTTTGGATTTCTTTTCCTCACCTAATAATATCTTATTTTGATTTAAGTAGCATTACCCCTTCTCCAATATGTCACATTCTGAAGTACGGGATTAAGGTTGAAATATACAGTATAGAATCAGATAACACAATTCATCATAGATTAGCAATGTTAATATTAGAAATTCATTTCCATTATTAAGAAAACATATTCTTTGTAATGTCTAATGAGATATTTATCTACATACTCTCTACAATATTAAATATGTTACAAATCACTGTGAAACAGCCCAAGTGCCCATCAATCCAAAGATGATTATAAATCGTGTTTTAATGGAGTACTTCAGCTCTAAGACATGATAGAATCTTATTTTTCCTGGCTAGACTGGAACCATACTATAAGTGATTAAGAATGAAACAACCAATATACTCACCAAGCAAACTGTATTAATGAGCAAGCACTAAGTGGACACATAGGTTACAGTAATAGTGTATTGGGCAGTGAGGAGGGGGTGGGTTGGATACGATACATAATGAGTGAGATTGACACTCTGAGGGATGCGCTGGAAAACCTCAGACTTGGGGGATAAGGGAAAGGAATTTTTATGATTCAAAATGGTACTACTATTTGATTTCGAATGTGCTTAACTCCAAATTATGTATCTAAAAATTGTATGGACCCAGCACAAAATACAAAGATATCTGACCATATCATATCATTGCTTTTTTCCAATGTCAATATTTAAGTACCATCTCATAAGCTTAAGTTGTGGTAACATTTTTAAGCCAAATAAAAGACTTTTTAAAGAATGAATTGGAATATTATTGTATTATTATACATGGAACCCAAACAATATTGAAGATAAAAATGTTATACTCTGATCTTGCTACTACTTTCAATCATATACTACCTTGAATGAGTTCCAACTGAGATGTATGAAAAAATGAGCTCCATATTTCAGCAAGTTTATTATTATTATCTATCATTGTACATTTGGGTATTCTAGAAAATGATGCTATAGACTTTCAGAACAGAAAAAATAATTCAGCAATATGTAATGTCCCATTTTTAAGCTCACGACTAATGGGTACAGAATGCACCCTATGGGTGGAGGACATGCTCATAGCCCTGGCTTGGGTGAGCAAAGGCATTACATGCAACCAAAATGTTTTTACCGCCATAATATCCTGAAATCAAAAAAATAAAGTAAATTTTTAAAAAGTCTATAACTCAGAATATGAGATCTAGAATGCCTTAACCCTACTGTCTCTCAAAATAATATTTTGAATGGAAAACTTATTTTTTAGAAAAGTATTTTATTTTTAATTTGGCCATTTGTCCAATCTTTTCTGTGTATTGAGTATTAGTGAATAAAGTTGATATTTATAGTACTTGGCAATATAAAGATTAATATTTATGTTTTTATTACAAAATAATGGAGATCCTTATGCTAGGACTGTGCTCCACACTTGCCTTGTTATAACAAAGAAAATAGTTAAAGTTCCTGACCTCTTGGCCCAGCCAGTAAAACAATTAAGATAGACCTAAAGTCTACGGACAGAGGAATGCAACATTTTGCGTATTATCTAAATTGGTATTTGTGGATTGGGTTAATGTTTTTTAGTAATAGCATGATAAATATACAAAAATTTTCTATGACTAAATCAACTTGAGAACAACTGAAGATTGTGGGTTTTCTCTTGGTCACCTCCCTAAGCAGACATGAGTGTTCCAGGCCTTTTTACCTCCATTATTTTCTATCAATACTTACTCTTTTGGTGATTTGTCTAAGCCTTATATTTATAAATATTAGCTATATGTTGATGACCCCATTTTTATATCTCCAGCCTGGACCTTCATTTCAAACTCCATTCATTTATGTATAGTTGTCCACTCAACATCCAAACCTAATCAATATTTCAAATTTAACTTGCTTAATCTGTCTCCTGATCTTTTAGTTCAAAGCTTTTCTTTCCCTTGTTGTTTCTCAACTCAGAAAAATGACACTGATGTTTATTCAATGACTCATATACAAAATCTCACCACATCTTCCAAAATGACCATTCCACAAAAACAAAGAGTAAACAGTATTTTAAACAATGTTAGCACTAGCTATTTGGCTTTATTCAATAATTTTTCTGAATGAAAAAAAATGACCTTGCATTCAGGCATTTAGGCCTGAATATACTGAGTATAATATACTCAGAATAATTTATTTATTTTGTTTCTATAAACTCTCTTATACTGCCAATTTCAGGACATCAGAGATCTTAACTGCTTTGTCTACTATGGCATGACAAATATATGGCATAGTGCCTGGTAAATGGTGGGTATTGGTTTTTAGTCATTTAGTGATAAAAAGTCCAGATAAAACTGATATCATATTTTGTTGGTTCAGTTGTGTCCACCAAAAACATATGTTGAAGTTTTAACTGCCGGTACCTATGAATGTGATCTTATTTGGAAATAGGGTCTTTGCAGATGTAATCAAGTTTAAAACAAAGTCATGCTGGATTAGGGTGGGCCCTATTCTGGTGACTGGTATTCTTATATAAGATAATAAGATTTATTATTTTGAGAATTTTGACAGAAGAGAATGCCATATAAAACACAGAGATAGGTATAGTATGTCCACAATGCTGAGGATTGCCAGCAACCACCAGAAGCTGAGAGAAAAGCATGAAAGATTCTCCTTCAGAATCTCCAGAAGAATCCAATAGTGCTGAGACCTTGATTTTAAACTTCTGGTTTCTAGAACTGTAAGACAATAAATTTCCATTGTTTAAAGCCACTCCATCTGCTGTACTTTGTTCCAGCAGCCCCAGGAAACTAAAGCAGATTTTGGTACTGGCAAGCAGAATGTGGCTATAACAAATGCCTAAAAATTTTAAAGTAGCTTTGGAATTGGGTACTGAATAGAGGCTGGAGGAACTCTGAGGCACACAGTAGAAAAAGCTCAAGTGCCTTAAAGAGACTATAGGTAGAAAAAACTGATGTTAAAGGTGCTCTGGTGAGGTCTCAGATGAAAATAAGAAACATGTTATTAGACATTGGAGGAAAAATATTCCTTGTTATAAGGTGGTAGAAAATTTGGCCTAATTGTGTTCAACCATTGAGTGGAAAGTAGAACTTGTGAGCAATAAACTTGGATATTTAGCAAAGGCTATTTTTAGCCAAAATGTAGAAAATGCAATCTACTTTTTCTTTGCTTCTAATAGTATAATATGAGAGAAAGGAAATAAACTGGGAAAAGAATTTCAAAGCAAAAATAAAATGATATCTGATGATTTGGAAAAGTCTGAGCATTTCCAGATAGCATGCTCTGGCAACAGAGCAAAGAGTGCGGATTAAAATCCTTTTGGTGAAAAAGTTAGCTATGTTACTCATGGATCAATCATTTTATCAAAAGCAAAGATTAAAGATTGGGTTATCCAGGTAGGTTCTAAGGAAAATGTTCATGTCTAATGGTGTGTGTCACCTTAACATCCAGGGAAGACTGACAAGGATTTTAAAAATTTTATATAAACAGAAACTCTGACAGCTTAGACTGAAAGGGACAGAGATAAGAAGAAATGAAGAAAGAATGATTACAAGAACAGCACCACAGAAATAAAGGCCAGAGAAGATGGGGCCACTTTTACAGAGGGTAAGAAAGAAAGACCATTGAGATATAGAGTACAATTCTCAGGCCTGAAAACCTAATTGAATTGCCCTGCTTGCTTGTAAGCATGCTTTAGACTGATAACTCTTTTAATTTTTTTTTAATTTTCTCCTTTTCAAGATGGGAATGTGTTATGGATCCAATTTTTACATACCCCCAAAATGTGAATGTTGAATTCCTAATCCTCAAGGAGATAGCAGTAGGAAGTGAAGCTTGGAAGATGATTAGATCATGAGAGTAGAGATCTCATCAATGGGATTAGTGACCCAAAAGAAATCATTTGCCTCTTCTACCATGTGAGGACACAGTGAGATGGTGCCATCTATAAACCATAAAATGAAACCTTACTAGACTCTCACTGAATCTGTTGTCACGTTGGTCTTGGACTTTCCAGACTCCATAGCAGTGAAAAGAAAATTTCTGTTGTTTATAAGCTACCTAGGCTATAGTATTTTTATAGTATCCTAAAGATACTTAGACAGAATATCTACCCAATCCCTTGGCCTCTCAGAGTGCTAGGATTACAGGCATGAGCCACTGTGCCTAGTCAAAATATCCTGTTCTTAATGAGTACTTACCTGAATACTCAAATGCAAACTCCATTTCTAAATCCTTATTTCCCTTCCAACATTTTATAAACCATTTTAAACTATCTAATATACTGTATAAGTTACCTATTTATCATGTAATTTTTCAGGTTCCACAACAACAGTGTAATCTACTAGCACAGAATAGATTTTCTTTCTCTTTTGTTAACATGCTTGCTACATAATGTTTTCTCAATGATTATGTATCGAATAAATGAATAAATTAATTGCTCTGTAAAACCATGTTAGAAAAATTATGTATTGCTGATACAAAGACACTAATGTTGAAGATATATATGAAAAGTTTTAATTATCTTGCTGAGCATTGTGTAAGCTAAATGACATAGTATATGTAAAGTCTAAAATAAACACTCAAAATATTATGGCTATTTTCACTAGAATTCAATTTTGAATATAGTATCATTTTTTTAAATGTATGGTCCATTCAACATTGCATAGATATTTACCTGCTTCCTAGAAGATTCTCCATAAATATTTGTGGAAATAATATTGGCTTTGAAATAAATGAAAACAAGTTTTGTCATGCTAAAGGAAACGTGTTTTAGAAGTATTTCAAAGTCATTGAAAAATGACATAATATATTTTTAATATTGGCAATAATTTTTATGGCTACTGTGTGAATATGGATTGCAGGAGATCATGAATGAAATCAAAGATCCATTCAGAAACTGTTAGAATATTCCAAGTGAAAATTATGGAACCCAACCAAAAGGAAATTGTCAAAATGTCAGATATGGAATTCAGAATATGTGTGTCAAATAAAATGAAGGGAATTGAAGAGAAAGTTGAAAGCCAACAAAAAGAAGCTAGTATCACCTCAGTAGATGCAGAAAAGCATTTGACAGAATCTAGCACCTTTTCATGATAAAAACACTGAACAACTAGGCATAGAAAGAACATACCTAAAAATAATAAAAGCCAAATATGGCAAACCCACAGCCAACATCATACTAAATGGGAAAACTTGAAAGTGTTCCCTCTAATACCTGGAACAAGACAAAGGCACCCACTGTCACCACTTCTATTCAACATAGTACTGGAGGATCTAACAAGAGAAATCACACAACAGACAAAAATAAAGGGTATCCAAATCAAGAAAGAGGAGGTCAAACTATCACTTTTTGCTGATGATATGATCTTGTATTTTCAAAATGCCAGAGACTCCACCAAAAGACTCTGAGAATTGATAAATAAATTCAGGAAAATCTCTGGTTACAAAATCAATGTACACAAATTTCTATATACCAAAAATAGTCAAGCTGAGGGTTAAATCATAGTCTCAACACATTTCACAATAGGTACAAAGAAAATAAAATATTTAAAATACATTTAACCAAGAAGGCAAAAGATCTCTACTAGGAGAAGTATCAAACAGTGATGAAAGAAATTGCAGATGACATGAACAAATGATAAAGCATCTAAGGCTCATGAAGTGGTAGAATCAACATTTTTAAAATGTCCATACTGCTCAAAGTGATTTATAGATTCAACACAATCCCCATCAATATACCAACGTCATATTTCATAGATCTAGAAAAAATAATTCTATACTTCATTTGGAACCACAAAAGAACCCCAATAGCCAAAGCAATCTTAAGCAAAAAGAACAACTCTGGAGGCATCACATTACCAGAATTCCAATTATACCACAGGTTTATAGTAACTAAAACAGTAAGGTATTGGTATAAAAGTAGAGACATAGATCAATGGAACAAAACAGAGAGTCCAGTTATAAAACCAGCTACCTACAACCGACTATTCTTCAACCAGGTAGAAAACACCGTACACTGGGGAAGCCCTATTCAATAAATGGTGCTGGAGAAATTGGATAGGCACATGCAGAAGAATGACATAGGACCCCTATCTCTCACCACTCACAAAAATTAATTCAAGATGGATAAAAGACTTAAATATAAGGCTGGACACCTTAAGAATTCTAGAAGAAAATGCAGAAGTTCTGCTAGACATTGACTTAGGCAAATAATTAAGACCCCAAAGGCAATTCCAGCAACAACAAAAATGAATAAATGGTACTTGTTTAAATTAAAAGGCTTTTGCACAACAAAGAAAATAATTCAACAAATCAAATGTATAACCTATAGAATGGAAGAAAATATTCACAAACTATACATCCTATAAAGGGCCATATTCAGATTCTAAAAACTATTCAAACAAATCTTTAAGAAAACAACAAACAACCCCATTAAAAAGTAGGCAAAAGACATGAACAGAAGTTTTTTAAAAGAATGTAGACAAATTGCCAACAAACATATGAAGAAATTCTCAACATCACAAACCATCAGGGAAAAGCAAATTAAAGCTATAATGAGATATCAGCTTACCCCTGTCAGAATGGCCATTATTAAAAAGTAAAAAACAATAGGTGATGGCATGGATGCAAAGAGAAAGGGATGATTATACACTATTGGTGGGACTACAGATTAGCACAATTTATGTGGAAAACAGTATGGAGATTCATCAAAGAATAAATACAGACTTATCATTGGACCAATCCCACTGCTGGATAGCTACCCAAAGAAAAATAAGTCATTTTATCAAAAAGATATCTGCACTCAAATGATTATTGTAGCACAATTCACAATCACAAGGATATGGAATTAACTTAAGTGCCCTTCAATTCATGAGTGGCTTAAGAAAATGTGTTGTGTATATGTGTGTGTGTGTGTGTGTGTGTGTGTGTGTATACTCAGCCATAAAAAGGGATGAATTAATGTATTTTGGAGAAATTTTGATGGAACTAGAGACCATTATCCTAAATAAAATATCTCAGGAATAGTCAAACAAACACTACATATACTTTCTAATAATTTGGAACTAATAGATGGGCATACATGGGCACAGAGAAGTAAAAGTCATTGGAAATCAAGAAATGGGGAAGGGATGGAGGGGAGGGTGAAAACTTATATCAAGTACAAGGAACACTGTTCATGTCATGGGCACACTAATAGCCCTGATTTAAGCATCATAAAAGTTATCCATGTAGTAAAAAATTTGGATTTCCTTAATATTTTGAAATTAAAAAAAAAACACTTCAAATAAGAAGCCAATTAAAAACAATAAAAATTTTTGAAATATCAAAAAAGAGAAGACACACAAATAGCCAAGAGATATATGAAAAAATGTTCAATATCAGTAATTACCAGAGAAATGCAAATACAAATTAAAACCACAATAAGAAACCATATTACCTCAGTTACAACGATTATTATACTAAAAAGAAAAAACAGATGCTGGCAAGGAAACAAATAAAAGGGGCCTCCTATACATTTTTGGTGGGAATATAAATTAATATAGCAATTGTGGAAAACAGTATACATGTTTCTCAAAAAACAAAACAAAAATCTAAAATTTAGCTATAGTCTGATGCAGCACTCCCACTACTGGTTATTTATCCAAAGTAAAAATCTCAGTATTTCAAAGGAATATCTGCACCCCCCCACCCCATGTTTATTGCATCAGTATACATAATAGCAAAGATATGTAATCAACCTGAGTGTCCATCAGCAGATAAATGGATAAAGAAAAGGTGGTATATATACATAGTGCAATACTCTTCGGCCATAAAATGAATGAAATCATACCATTTGCAGCAATGTGGATGGAACTGGAGGTCATTATGTTACGTGAAATAAGCCAGACACAGAAAGACAAATATCACATGTTCTTACTCATATACAGGAATTAAAAAAAAAAAATTGATCTCATGGAGGTAGAGAGCAGAATGATAGTTACCAGAGGCTGGGAAAGTATGTGTCGTGTGGTGGGATAGGGATGCAAGAGGTCAGTTAATGGGTACAAACATACAGTTAGATAGAAAGGATAAGTTCTAATATTTGATAGCAGAGTATAGTGATATCATTAATAATAATTTTTGTACATTTCAAAATATCTAGAAGATAGGATTTCAAATGTTCTCAACTCATAGAAATAATAAGTATTCAAGGTGATGGTTATCCTAAATACCCTGGCTTGATCATTACACATTCTATGCATGCAGTAAAATATCAAATATACCCCATAAATATGGACAAATATCATAGATCAATAAAAACTTAAACATTTAAAATCTTTTTAAAAAGAGCCAACTAACTTTTTAGCTTCTCTTTTATTATGAGAACAAGAGATGATATCACAGTAAAACCCTACTCAATTGCTTGTTGCTTACTCATTACCTGCTCATCACTCTGCCCAGAAATACTGTCTTTCCTTGGCCTATCTGCTCTAGTCTACATGTTCAAGGCAGTCACAGCAGTAATAATTCAAAGGCCCTGTCTGGTCTTAGGAATACATTCACTTTCATTTGATTTTCTGTCTTCCATTTCCATCCCTTCAAATTTTTTGGTTGTTTCTCATGGA